ATGAATGTGATATGGATATGTAAATGTAAGATATACTTTCAGAAAACTCACTTCACTGTTAAAAAGAGACACATTGTGCAATCGAAGACATCACCAAAGTTTGAGTCTGTCAGGGGATCTGATCTTTTCAGTCAGCTGTATAAGAGTTGTGTTGAAATTCAAAAAATGTTTGTTGGATGAAAAGTTATTTGTGGCTTCCTTCATTTTTACGTTCAGAGATTCAGAGATTCCACTTTTTTGTGTGTGGTTATACAGCCACTCACTGGGTTACATGAGAAAGATTGAACTAGTGCTAGCCATTACTATTATGAGTGTGGGTCATAAGCACTTTAAATGGCAGAGTTAAATGGACACACATGGAAAGGAAATGCGGAATACATTTGAAATAATGTGACACTAAGACTAGAGAAGCTGCTCTATGAATACAGACCATTTATTCAGGATTCTCTACTTTTATGTCCCCGTGTTAAACAGCTCTCCCTGCTGGACAGTTTGAATCATCACACTTGATGTAAAATCTCGGACATTGTTCAGATCAGTTAACTGTGATTTATGTTCACTGTCAGAATTCTGCAGAGAAGACAGACATGACAATGCACATGTGATGATGTGAAACGACATGAAGGAAACATGTATGAGAACAGTATTCAGTAAAAACAATGAGATATTAGTGAACACTACTGACATGAATACAACATGTTAAAGGTCCAGTGTGTAAGATTTAGGTGAAAGGGATCTATTGACAGAAATTTAATGCAGAATATTCATCATGATGTTTTCATTATTTTGTTTAATCTAAATTATATGAATTGTAGTTTTCTTTACCCCAGAAAAAGCCCTTTATATTTAAATACTTCACAACTAAACAGCTTTAGTTTGTCTAGAGTTTTTATGACAACTGACGGCTTCCACAGGTTCTTTTGGGGAGGGGAGGGTGAGGTGAGGGGTGTTCAACTGCAACATGCAATTTCAACACTAGATTATACAAAATTCTACACACTGTCCTTTTAAAAGTATGAAGGGCAGAGTTTCAGTCTATGCGACATTTGGTTTGGATTGGTCAGTGTTGTTTTGTTGACAGTGTTTTAAACCAAATATCACACAAACCTCTAATCAGTGTTTTAAACCTCTAATCAGTCACTTCTCTGTGTTTATCTTATTAGCCAGCGTTGAAGCGTTAATATTAGTCTGCTGTTCTTGTCGCACAGGGATCTGCCAGTCAAGATAATACATTAGCATTCCCAGGAGAGACTTGCTGTTAATGCACAGTGTCTGTATTTTGCTTGTTTGACTCCATGAGAGGTTGGCAGTGTGTTCCAGTAGATCTGGAGTCACAACCCGACGTCACTTTGTTATTTGTGAAGACAGAGGACGCAGAGCTCCTCTCCACTTGTCCTAAACCCACTTCTGTTTTTTGGACTTCCAGTGTCAGTCACATGGTTGGAGCTAGATAGACAAGGAGAGACTGGCCAGAGAAGCTTGAGACCACAGGACAAAACTGATCACTTGAGTAACAGTCTTTTTGAGACTGTGGAAAACAGGATTGCAAAGAACCAGAATGCTTTTCTGCCGCCAGCGTGCAACAAGCCCATGTGAGTAAAAACCTTCAATGTTTTCACAGTAGCCACATTGTTACATACTGTATGTGCGTGAGTTCCTCTTTGCAACAAGTCGATAAATGATGTGATGAGCAATTTGCATTTTATTTGGCACATTAAGTGCTGCACTGACAAATCCACCACAAACTTCCACTGATTATTGGAGGACATGTGAATGAATGCTTTAATTCCTCAGGCACTATCTTCAGTTGAATGTCATGTTTGTCAGAGGTCCAAACACCAGGAAGGATTATCTAGAGACGAAGGGGAGGAGGTGAGAGGACAGGACTGATTCTTCTGTAAGTTTTCATTCCTCTCCAGATAAGTGTTGCTTGTTTGAAGCAGCATTGATGCTTCTTACTTAAACCAACAAAAACTACATTGATATTGATGCAAACTTTGAGTTTACCACAAGAACATGATGCCTAATAAAGTCTTTAATTATATTTGAAATGGTGAGTGATTACCAAATTAAGGTTAAGGCATTTAGGAGGCAAATAAAACACTCGCAAATCACAGCGTGGCTTCGAGGAGTTTGTGTGACCAAGAGCTTTGGTGTCTCTGTTTTATATCTATTCACTGCATGTGTGTATGAAAATGCAGCTGATATGAGAGCAATGTCCTTAATTGACAAAATTACTAATGAAATAAAGTAGTAAACATCAGCTGACCACAAAGGAAGAACTGGTTTGGCTGTGGAGTCGTTTTTTTCTTTGCACCGTGATTCTTCTTTCCTAGCTTCTTATGGCTTCTCCACATCTTTGCTTGACCTTGTGATGTATTCAACTGGGGTCAACAAATAATGGTTAGGAAAGAAGATTATTCAGACTTTTCGAATGGATCTCTTGGTTCCTTCCTTAACCATGCAAAGGTACCATCAACAGTCTGGCCAGATATTTGATTTAGGTGTTCTATAGCAACTACAGTGCCATTCTTGTGTTCATGTTTCAGCTCTGTCAATCAAAAACTGATTAAAATCAAATATGCACATTTATTTTTCGTGTTTTCACATAGTGTTCATGTATAGTAAATGTCAAATGTGATCATTTTCATTAAATTACAAATTCTATCAAACTGTTTTGAAAACAGAAAAACAAAAGTGTGAAACATGTATCTGCAGTTGTCCAAAGACTTTTTGTGAAATAAAAATGAAACCAATAAAACACATTCACTTTCAGAATGATCAAGAAATTAGCAGCAGTGTTGCTCACGTGAACATCAGTGATAAAACAATCAACTATCTTTATCCTCGTCTTTCTGTTACAGATGAGTCAACAGACTATATCAGTGATATAATATCACTATAGTCCATTATATATATATATCACTTCAATCAGAAGCTCAAACTTATCTTTTTCACCCCCAGTGATCAGCAGCTCAGGTGGAAGAGGAAGAGGAAGAGTTAATAAGGAAGATAAATCATCTTTGAAGTGCCAGGTAAGTGCGTTACAATAGATATGTAGCTTGTTTACATATCAACATACCGTACTCTCTGTTTTATTCTTCTCTATTCCATATTACTTTTAAGTCAGAAGCTGTGTGTTATGGAGACTGTAGTGAGGAATCTTTGTTGGTCTCTATGAGGTTTTCTCATGTTGTATCCTCTATGTCTGTGGGTGTCCAGTCAGCCAGTCTCCTCTGTGCTGACTTTGTTGTTGACGTGGGGAGGAGTTGAGAAAACCACGTTCTTTCTCCATGACACATTTGCTGCCATAGAATCCTTTATTTTCCCACTGCATTGCTTCACTGGGAGAGCATGGAAGGTGGGCAATTCAAGATAATCTCAGCTAAACAGACTGCATACCTACCAGTTACTAGAAGGAATATTTTGTCTTCATTAGCCCGGCCACCCACAAAGCCTACCTGAAGCATGAACAGCCCTGCCAGACATAGAGGCCAGCCAACAGAATGAAAGAAAGGTTGATCCAGTCCCCAGGAGTTATTAGAATGGTAAAAAAAAGCCATGATGTAATACCAAGATGATGCAAGATGATACCAGGGATGTTGGCAGATGCAAAGGCAAGCCGCCAGTGATAACAAGGCTCAAACCATAAACCCTGACAACAAGAGACACGAAGCAAATGGACAGACGGTGTCACCTGGTGTAAGACGCAGGGTGTCACCAGCCCTCCCAGAAGCAAAGGCTAACATGGTAAATGTTGGCTCTGAAGATGATCATCAAGGCAAATGTAGACTCAGTGATGTTGAGTCAAGGAGCTATGTTAGTAGCTAATTAACACGATAAAGTGAGAACAAAATTGAATTGAAGCTGGAACTCTGAGCTTTTAGTGCTTTTTGGTGAATAACATCCACGTGTTCACTGCAGGTTTTAGATGTCTGCTCATTACAACAAATGATCAGTAACTATAATAAACTGCAGTAGGGAGGGAGGCTTCATATGATACAATGACAAAATATATATTATCAGAGCAGAACGCAGTAAGAACACTCCATTGTGTGATTCTGTGAAGAAAGTAGCACAGCTCACCCTTTGGAAGTGATATCACAGTAGTGCCTCAAGGGAATTTCTTCAAATTTTGCATGGTCACAAGCTTATTATTGTGTGTGTGTGTGTGTGTGTGTGTGTGTGTGTGTGTGTGTGTCATCAGTTACAGGTCACTGAGCTAGCTCCCATGTGTTGTGACATCAGAGGAACTGTAATCTTAAAAACCACTGAAATCTAATCTCATCTTTGTTTCAAACTGAACATTTCTGCCTAATCTAACAAACCAAACTGAAACCCTGTTTTGTGAGGCCACAGTGACTTTAACCTTCGACCACAGTTCCTGCCAAATTTAAAGAAAATTCCTCAAGAAGATATTGCATTCACTTTTTGGGCACAGACCACCTGAACAGATAATGCTGCCACCGATGAAATGAACTGTAATTATATTGCTCTTTCCAGCCATTCACCCATTCACACATTCATACAGTGCATCTATGTGCAGCACTTTCTCTGTCATTCATCACTCACATGCTGCTGGAGCCGCCACCAGGGACAATCAGGGTTCAGTATCTTGCCCAAGGACACTTTGGCACACAAAAAGGCACAGACTGAGATTGAACTGCCAAGTTTCTGCTCAGTGGACCATGAGGGAGTTTCTTACTCTCCACAGTCGCCAAACTGTTTGCTCATGTGGGAGCTGTAGAGTTACACCATAACTTAGCAACGTCTCAACCTGACTATGAAAAGTGCCTTTAGATAATGTTATTTAGGGCTATACACTTGAGTTGAGGTTCTGTCATTTATCCCCACACTGTTGGGAACTAAAACACAAATGCCAAGCGTTCTGCGGTGTTTGTCCCGCCTCCACGGTGTGGGAGCGTCTGTGGTTTGTACACAGTCGAGGGAAAAAAAGTGCATATACCTGCATCACTGTCATTAGTGAGTCACAGGAACTGCAGTTAGCGGCTAAATGACACACCTCGTCATTCCAACTCAACCAACAGGACTGCTGCTATTTACTGTGACTGCTGATGAGTTCACATTTTTATGACAGTCAGTGCATGAAGACTGGATGTGCTGCTGTCTTGGGACAAATAGACAAGGACAACTTTCAAAACAGACACACACTCCTCCATGGAGATTGAAAGCATGGTGGCGAACAGTGCTCTTATTAAAGCCCGGGAAGGTAAGAGCTCATTTAAAAATGTTCTTCTGAAGGATTTTTCAGAAATGATTCGAAAATTCAGTTTCTAAGCTCAGGCGTCATGTGACAGGATGTCAGAGGATGAATACAGCTCAGTGCCATCACAGACTCTTCATCAGGGGCTCAGGGGTCAAAGCTGTGTTTTGGTTGGGTGATCTGAGGACAGTGACCCAGATCAACAAGGTGCTGAACGATGATGAAACTGATCACAACTGCTGACTCTTAGGTCTCTCTTATGAATCCATGCAAATGTTGCTGTCATTTATTTCTGCAGCACTTTTTGGATTTTACATTTGCAGTTTCTGTCACTGTTCATCTTTTGTGAACAATGCACGTCCTGTGGGGTCATCTGAACAAAATCTACGTTGAAAGCAGGCAAAAGGCTAAAGGATCCAACAGCCAGAACACAAGTGTTGAAATCTCACCACAAATCGACTGTCCAGAAAATCTCTTACCTCATTTAAAGTGAAATGTTCAAATGTGTTGATACCTTTGACTTAAAAATGGAGATGTAATCTTCCAGAGGCATCTTTGTGGCCATTTAAAGATGAAAGTAAGTTGCAGAGTAATGTGGTTCCACAGGCTTTCCTTACCTGTTCCCAGAGCTATTAATAGTTCATTCACTGTAGTTGAGCATGCTATTGTTTGAAACCTGAAGGGCCAGACGCACGCTTGTACGCATGCATGTTTATGACACATTGCTGATGTCAGTCTGAGTTATTTTTCATTACTGCGTGTCTGTGTTTATCTGTGTGTATCTGTGTGTCTGTGTTTATCTGTGTGTCATCTGTGTGTCGTCTGCTTGCAGGTGGAGGGAGTAAAGGCAGAAGCTGGAGATGGAGAGAGATGCTTCGCTTTCCTCACATCAGTCAGTGTGTGGACCTGGCCATGAACATTGGTATGTGAACAAATGCATTTCTGTTTGTTTCTGTATTTTATCAAATGATCTGTATTTTATCAATGGCATGTCCTATTTTCTCCCACAGAGCGAGACTATTACAGTCTATGTGTGAAGCAGCCTATTGGCAAGAAACTTTTCCAGCTCTTCTGTCGGAGCCGTCCTGATCTGCAGAACTACATATCCCTCCTGGATGCTTTGGTACATTTTCAACCACGGAGAATTTCATGGCAAATAGAATTTATAGGATTTGTATTATAGAAAACACAGAGAAACATAGAGATCAGAGAACGCATTTTAGAGCATACTTACTTAAAATTCTAAATTAAAGCCAAAATACAACAAAAAAAAAACCTTTGTGCATTGTGCAACAAATGTAAGACGGAAGGCCAGAAATGGTTGGGAAAGCCTTTTAATGAAGTGTTCTCTGTGTAATACAATATGGGCAGTGATTGATTTTTTTCTAAAGTGACCGCGCACCAGTGAATTACATTACCAGAATACCAAGCGAGCAGGAAGTAGTAGAAGGAAACATTTGATAAAATAATCAGTATAAAGGAGGCTGTCACAAAAGGGAGCACAGGGAACACAGGGAACACAGGACTTGCATTCATCTTTGAATTTCACAATCGGTTTAAAAATAACAAAAAGAAGTGGCCAACATTTGGAAGAAGCATGGTAATGATAATATCCTGCAGGACAGAGTTAAATAATATGTTTTGCTGAGATAAGCACCGTGAAAACACACGTTGAGATCTGAAGTCGTTTCATTTGGAGCAGGACGTCTGATGTTAGTCAAACTCGTGCAGTGATTAGTGCAAGAGTCGGTGCTGGGTGTTCAGATTCTGTTTCAGTAAATGTTCATCTATTTCTTCTTTGTCACTTTCAGGACAATTTCGACACAAAGTCGGACAATGACCGAAGAGAGTTTGGCATCAGCATCATTCAGAGATTCTTCATGAGTCAGGTCTGACAACCACACGAGTGACATGTCTTTACTAGATATTC